AGCATTAGCCTGTGATTGCAGGATATGTCCCTGCCACAGCAGGCAGAATCTCACTTGCACAGTCAACAGCAGGGCTCTTCTGACACACCATGGAGCTCAGCTCTCCCCCTCGGCTCCCTGGCATGAGATATACCCACACAACAGAGTATTTGGCTCAGTCCCTAAGCTGGTTGCCCTTCAGATACAGGAGAACGGCTCCTGTCTTGACAGCATTCCCACAGTCTTGCAGATAAGCCAGAAGGAGAGGGTGCCCCTGGAAAAAACAACAAACTGCAGGAAAATTGAAGTGCTGGCATGAAATGCTGATCGGTTTGCATTTGAATTTCAGTAAGAATGCACTTACATCAATGTTTGGCTCTAAAAAAACCCTTCCAGGTTTGAAAGTAGTTCATAAGAGCCTTGCTAAAGCAGAGCTCTTGGCAGTGGGGTGGTGTGTGCAGGAGAAACACCAGTTCCCATTGACAGATACTGAGAGGATGAGAAATACCCCTCCTCTACACACAGAGACACCTCAGGACTTGCGTCCTGAAAAGAGGGGTTTTACATCCTCATCTGGAGATCATCACGGAAAACAAGGGTTTTAGAAAGCCACTTTCTAAGCCGGAACATCAGAGTAAGTAAACGTGCAGTATCTCAGATGTTTTGCTGAAGAGATGAAGTGTCACACGCTTTTGATGGGATTCCAACTAATTCCACTACACATACAAATCCGGCTTTAACTCTTCCTGTGCTCTCAGCTTGGAGACTGTTACTTCCAAGCAGCCTGTTACTAACACCTTCCACCAAAGGGCTAAAAGCAGCAATTGACTGTACTCATTTTAGCCAAGACTTTCTTTGGCCCTTTCTTCCTCGCTCCGAAACTTGGCTCTCCCTACCAGGGCAGCACAAGGAGAGAGAGGGCTGAGCTGCGAGGATACGGGTTGAAGAATGTTGGGTTTCATTGATTGCAAATGTTTTCAGGGGCCTTTTCTGAACTGAGATCAGTTGAATTTGCTCAGACGTTTCTGCCCAGCGCCCTCAGACCGTGCTGCAATGTGAGGAGGGGTAGTTCTGCCAGAGGGGAACTCAGTCCTAAAATCCTTGTTCAGGGTTATGTATTTCAGGACTGGCATGAAAATAGGGAGGAGCAGACAGAGTCACAAGAGGAAACATCAGAGACTTCCCTTGGAATAATCCCTTCCGTGGAGAGGGGTTGGAGCAGCTGTAGGCTCCTTCAGATTATACCTTCCAAATCCCCGGGATCAGTCAGAAAGGGGCTGAGTTGTTATTTCCATAGCCTGACTCTGGAAACACCAATAACACCCAGAGATGGGCTCAGTACTGGATATGCCTTTGTTTTCCACATATATAATAAATAGGTGCTCTTGCAGTCCAGAGAATGCCCCGCTGCGCTGCTCGGCGGCTGCCTAGTATTCTTTTAAATAATCAGTGAATCCTCTAATGACACTGCCTGCATTCTGTGCTCCTGAAAGCAGCCTGCTAGAAGTGTTTATGTGCAGCTAGACCACGTGTGATGATTATAGATGATAAACATAATTATTTTGGATGCTGATCGCCTCTGCTTTCTTCATTCCGCTGCTGCTGCGTAAAACAATCTCCGCGTTATCAGCTCTATGGGCAGAAACACGGTGAAGATACAGACTTCCTCTTGAAGGCAGGGACAGACCTTCAGGGAAAGGCACCACCCGAGGGACGGAGCTGCAGCTGTGACAAACTCCTGCCTCTTGAAACACAAAGTCTTTAAGATGCACCTGAACACTCTGCAAAACCAAGGTCAGAGCGTGACTGGGAAGCAGGTTTTGTTACCCATCAAGAGGCAGGGAAGCATCAGTGAGGAACCAGTTTGATTGACTTCTGCTCCAAGCAGTGCTCTCATGCAGATATCACCTAACTCAAGATTTTAGGGAGTTGAACAAAATCAAGTATCCTAAAGCAGCAAAATCACCCATTAGACCTGTCGGTACCACGTGTGAAGCTGGTGGTGGGGGTGGCTCCTGCCAGGAGTTCATTGCCTTCAGATTGGGACCAGCAGGTGCCTCAGGGATCCAGAGCACAGACCCCTGACTTTTGTTTTAAAACAACTAATCCATCATCCAAAAGCGCGTGGTTGCTTCCCAGCCATGCAAGTAACGAGATAACACTGCTAACTAACCCCTATGGGGAAGATGGCATTGTCCCTTATAGAAAATGGGATAAGGCCCCTGAAGCTCTCCAGCCTCACCCAGTCTTTCCCTTTACTTTGGCCAGTGAGGTCTTTTCCTCCTTCCTGATCTCTCCAATCAAGAGTTTGCTCCCATAAGCATCCCCACTTCCCTTTGCTGCCTGCTCACTGCCTGTCCCTTCTCCCCACGATGCTCAGTTCTCTCCCATTACGGTTCTCCTTGCACAGTCTCAGTACTGGGTGCTGTGCTGCCTTGGAGATGGGCACGAGCAATCCATGAGACTCTCATGCTGGACTCCCAATGGGTCAGAACACACCAGCAGCGCCAGGCAGGGGGGCTTTGTTCTGCCCCACAAGCCCAGATCTGCACAGCCAAACCTGGGTTTGGGGAGATGCTCCATGTGCTGAGCAGCCACACTCAGAGATGGGCCCATGGAGCAGTGAGAGACAGCAGTCACATGCTGTGACACCTCGCAGGGACCTGCACAGGAGAAATAATGGATGGAAGGACTACTCCTTGTCTTCTGTCATCTTCTCTCTACTGTCATATGGTCCTGCTTGTAGACTTGGGCTGTGAATTCTCTTTTATACGATCCCTGCCACATCCTGAGAGAGGGAACTGGCAAGGTCTGGACAGCCTGCACAGCATCGTAAACTTTCCTGCCAGTTCAGGAGGAGGGGGGTTACTGGGAGAAGGCTGAGAGGCAGAAGGAACGGTGGGGTTGGTGGTGCTGAGGCTCACCAAGCAGCCCTGCTTCCCTCCACACTAACCCCATCATGACCTGGCTCCTCAGAGACAGCCACTGCCTGGAACCGAGCAATCTGGGAAACAACCACTTCTTTAAGTTTCATTATTAAATAAATCAATCAATCCAGCTATCACGAGGCCCTGAAGCCAAAGTGGCCAAGTAAAGGATAGGAGAAGCCAGAAAAACTTCACAAGAACAGGTAACAAGAGCCGTGTTTACCACAGCCGAGAGACAAGGCTTCTAATGCAAGCAGGCTGCGGCCCCACAAACATCCCCTATGGCCTGGTATGGCTGCACGGAGATATTTACACGTACAGGCAGGGAGACGCCGAGCTCTGGCTGCTGAACAATCAACTTTTATTCTCTCCAGACCAGCAAAGCCAAGATTTTAGTAAACACGCAACCCCAAAAATGCGCCTGCGGATTGGGTAGAGCAGAGCCCGTGCTCTCCCTGCCAAACAACAAAGCCTTTCTCCTGCGGGTGGTTTCACGGTGAGGTTTCTGTGGGGAGGAAGTGTTTCTAGTGGTCAAGGCAGAGAACGGGGGTTCAGGGGACCTGGCTCCCATCCCTGGAATCAGGAAAGCTCTGATTGCAGCAAAGGCACACGCTTGCAGGAGTCACTAGTCCTCTGTTCACCTCTCTTTTCCAGGCACAAGTCGTTGCTTTGAGGAGCCACGCAGAGACACAGACTCCCCCCCCCACCATCTCTAACACTTCCTGACCTTGCAGGGCTGTGGTGGAGCTGGTGTGATTGATGCCTGAAAGGCTGTCAGAGCTCTCTGGATGAAAATCTCTCTGGCAGGTATTGGAAGACGTGCACACGCGAGTGCAGACACGTGAGAAAGAGACATGCACCTCACGCACTCTCCTGCTTCCCTCCAGCTCACAAACCTCCACCCAGACTCGCTGGTTCCGCTACTCAGGCATTTAAATATTTACAAGATGGGTCTGCAGAAAACCTGTGTTTTAAAGCAGGGTAGCCAACACTGTAACTTAACAAACGTAACAAATCCCCAACCTGGTTGGTTGCCCGGACTCAACCCCAAGTCTCTGCATTTTACTGCCAAAATCAGGCCAATGTGAAGCAGACAGAAAGCCCATGGCAGATACAACCCAGTCCTACTCATTTCTGGTGGACTGGCACCAGTAACCTCCCCTGGCCCTTTGCATTGTCCTCTCTTCGTTTCATCCTAGATGCCATTAACATGTTGTTTACATCTCTTTCAGTTCATTAATGAAGACACTAAAGAAGACTGGACCTAACCCTGATCCCTGTGGCTTGCCATTAGATAAACACCTCCTTGAAAAGCTCCCATCAACCTCTTAGGTCTGAAGGACTGTTGTCTGGAGGTGTGCATAGCAATTACAGCTAATGACTTCACCTGTCACAGTTCATTTGCAGTGAACGCCACGGGGAGAACCCACCAACTGCACCAACAGTTTTTAAAGAACAAAAAAACCCGAGAGAAGTAAGGAGTGTCCCACAGGATGGCTCCGTATTCAGCGGGCGTGCTGGCTTTGTCTGTTCACAAGGTTTGAAACAACTTTTGGTTTTACTTCCTGCCCTGAATTGATCTGGATGCTGTTAAGTTTTCTGGATCTTCTCTTACCTTGTTGGCTGCATTTCAGAAATAGGTGGCATGAGTCAATGGCAGTGGACCAGTGCAAAATGTTGTAAGATACTTCCCTCAAGTGGATGGAATAAAAATCACTCAACCGTGTGTCACAGGCTCTGTGGTGTACCTCAGGTAGCAGAGAGATAATGGGAGATGGACACCTACATGAGGTACAACCTACCAACCTGCCTGAGAGGTGTTAGGAGCGTAGAAGAATGATCAGTGAAACCACAACTTTCCCACTCTACAAATGTCAGAGCACACAAGATGACACCCAGTGACCCTTTGTATCAATACTAAAGGGGCATATGCTCTGACAACCTGTCAAGTCACTACATGGAGAGCTAATGTATATCCATGACCAAGCAGGAAAACAGCTTGAATGCAAGCTGAGATGAGTGACAAGTACTCCTACATGATACTTCAGCAGAAATGGAAGAGGCTGCTTGGAAGCAGCTCGAGGGGTGAAATACCTGAGTGCTGTAGAACAAGACTGCTCTGCCCAGGGGAGCCTGCAGCAGCACTGCCAGGGACAGACAGGAATGGAGAGAACCAGACGCTGATTGCAGTGGGGTGGGTGGTACCGACGCTCCCCCCGAGGCTGATGTCTGATCTCATCATCACTGTTTTCCTCAAAGCGAGCGATGAAACATGAACAAAGAATTCAGATTTCACTGTAGTTTTACTGGTACGGAGACAGCAGCTCAGCTCCAGTCTCTTCCATATACACCGAAGAGGAGAAGACTTCATCTCCTGCAAATGAAGAGAGATGAGAGGGGCTCAGCACGAGGCAGGATTTGTCTCTGTAACTGATCAGTCCAACAAAGGGACACACAAACCGTTTATTACTGAAAATGAATTGTGCTATCAAGGCAGATGCCTGCAATTACTTCTGTTAAATATTATCTTTCATTAACTGTAAAATATATAATTAATAAACTTGCCCCCTCATTTTTGTTAAGTTTCACTGCAAAGACCTTATTACTGAAATAAATCTTTCTAGCAGCGCACGGCGGCAGAACAGAGGAAGGTGCACGCCTCTCTGTGTGTGATAATTTCCTTATGGAAAACTGAATTATTAGGGAGGAATAATCACCTCTCTTCATGGCTCAGACTGTAGAAACACCCCACTCTGAGACCAGTTGTTTAAGCTCATGCCTCTTGGAAGCAGGCAAGAAGAATCTGCTTTGGCTGGCAAAGAGGACTGGATCTGAAAGCAGCCAGGCAGACGCAAGCTCTTCTTTCACTGGCAAATCTGGAGAAACAACAAATACAATTCATTTTTTGATTTACAGTCCATTAAAGAAGTCTTCTGACTATCAAGCTGCTCAGAAAGACCTCGGTGGTTAGGGTGATTTTTTTACAAGCCCCACGTCCACCCACCTCACAAGACTGTTAGAACTGCGTGACTGTGATTTGCTTTCCATGTACATCAGGACTGGTTTGATTTGGGGAGGTTTGGTGAGGGCTGTTACACCATGGGACTCAGAGCTGCTTCAAAAATGTTGCTGAAATTTGACTCCAAGCATAAAATTCCCCTTAGACTTTGTCTCCACTTGTGATCTTTACCTCAAGTTAGTTGATTGCCAGTTCAACCCGGGGTAATTAAAACATTTCCAAAGGCTGTTCAGGGCAATGCTTTTTGCCTTGCTGCAGGCTACGAGTGTTCGTGGTTTGCCTGGGGCTGCTGTTCATTCCTGCTGGAGTTGGCACAAGAGGCAAGGAATGCCAGGCGAGGAGCAACGCCTGCTCCATCACCATGCTCCCCACCCGGGGAGGGCGGCAGAAGGAAGGAGGGGACGAGCACGCACTGGAGAGACAGTGATTTAACTTCTGGCTATAGAGAAAGCAGCACAGAGGAGGAGAAAAGGAAAGTATGTCTTTTAATCAACCCCTATGATTTCAGTGCTTTTCGAGATGTCTGGATGAGCCCGGGGGAGCCAACAGGTTGCAGAGACGCTCACCCCCAGGCTGCCACGTTCAGTACAGAGGAGCTCGGCTGAGAAGAAGGGTTCCCATCTTAACTGGCCTTCAGAGCTTTTTGCAATGAGACAGGCTTGGGGAGGGAGAGGGTGTCATTTTCTGGCCATCCACTACCAATTTGTCACCCTTTTTTGTGGTTGGCAGAACTGAAAGGGAGGGCAAGAGCTCTGTGTGTTGTGGGTACTGGGAAATGCACAACCCCTGGCTCGGAGCAGGTCCTGTGTCAAAAAACTGTATTAGAAAACCCTACCCTGCTACTGCCCTGAGTCTAAAAAAAGGGCTCCATTCTCATATCATTTTAACTAGCACTTAAGAATGTTGAGACTGCCAACCAATTTGACTACACAAAATAATTTAGAGTCAGCAAATTATCTAGTTAACTGATGCGTATAGAAATGGTAATTCAACAGCAACCGAAGCCTTTTTACATCTAAAGACGATAATCCTACACAAAGAAGGAAAGAGAGGGGCTGAGCGTGCCGTCCTTGCAGAAGAAATGGTACGAATATTTTAGCTGTCACCTACAATGTAACCTAGATGCAGTTACACAAACAGCACAGGCTGAGAGCGAGGTTAGGAGCGAGTTTGGAACGAAAGCTCGGAAATCTTATTATACAACTCTTTGCCCTGGTTTTGCTCTAGGGGAGAGGCTCGTGTATCAGCCCATTTCCACCAGTTTGCATAAACTTGCTGCACAAAATTTTACTTTTCTGTACGAAAGTATAACCATGGACATGCACACTCGTGTCCCTCAATATCCCTCAGGAACCCTTTTGTGCACAGGCACTGACTGCCCGACAGACAACCAGGCATCATCTCACTCCTCGGGATCCCACTGGGTCAGACCAGGAACGCCGGAGAAGGAAGATGGAAAAGTGAAGCAACTCAACTGGCTGGCTCTTGGGCCGCAGAAGGGGGAGGGGGCAGGGAGGCAAAGCATCTGGCTTCCCCTCTCCTCTAACAGCCTGGCGGGAAGGCTGCTGTCAATTCCGCCTTCTGCCTTGTTGGAAGAAAGCAGAAGTGACAAGAGGCCCTCCAGGCAGGCAGCCAGGAACCAGAAATTCAATTGAGCTACCTCCTCAAACTGGACTTTTTTTTTGGAGACCCTTTCCCTAAAATTGCTTTGCCTTTAAAAAAAAATAAAAATAAAAAAATTTCATGGTGGTTCAGGGCCAATTCATCACCCCTGGTCTCCTGGCTCTCCTTTCCTCCCAAGAAAGCACGATTTGCACAAAAGGATTTCCATTTTCTGGACTGCTCTACAACCAACCTCACCCATAATAAATACACAGGCACATAAATATGCACACGCACATGCATACACAGATACAAACAATGTTATTTATAGATACAGGCATTGCCACGGACAGATAAATACACAGGTGTGTTTCTGAGCTCTGTAACATGCAGGGGGAGAAGCGATACGGCAGCTGAATTTACTCTGCCTTCGCAGATTAGGAAACAGAGTGTGGGCCATACGGTCTATCTCTAGGGCTTAGACCAACTGGTTATTGGCTGGTGCTGTTGTTCCTCTAACAAGCCCCTGGATATATCACTGTGGCTGTAGAGAAATGCAGCTGAAAGAGCCTTTCACTGTCAGCAGCAATCTGTCACTTCATGTATCTTACCCTGCCTCTTACAGCACAAAAGCTTCGGAGCCGCACGTGGGTGTTGGGAGAAAGGTCATTTTGCAGGTAGGCTGTGGTATTTTTCTCTATTTCTGGGAATGTGTGGCCAGCTTGAGGCACCGTCTGGATGCTGCAGCGTGAATTTCAGCTTCACATATGCCCAGCTATAATTTAAGACAAGGGAGAATTTCCATTACAAACCCCCTTTTTTTTTTTTCCCCCATGGATTTATACCTTAGCTATTCGGCTTGGCTTTGGGGAGAACCTTCACTGAATCTATTCCCAGGCAGGGAGAAACTATTTTTCTTGTACGGCGTTTCAATCCAGCCCAGCCTCTTTGGGTTGTAAGATGGTGAAGGAAATTACGTATGCACACAAACACTCACAAGCACACACAAAAAGCTTACACAAACATGTGCCCGCAGAGAGAACTGCTACAAAAAAAAAAAAAAAGACACGCCAATGCAAATAAACCCAATTTTAGGAGTGAATTAATTTGACTGACTTTATTATTCTAAATTATTAACAAGTTCTAGCAACCTTAGAATGTAATAACCACACTCTGGCTTTCACCTAGGTTAACTGGAAACAGATAACTTGTCCTGATATAAATGGTATCAGTGGAAATCTGACAGCGAACTTGGAGGCAGAAACCTGACACAGAGAGCCCCTCCCTCACAACTCCTGTACACTTCTCCTCCCCTGAAATGTTCCAGGGCGATGAATCACCCTCCAACAACACCAGAACCCCCTGATTTTCATGAATGCCAGCTGAAACCTGACCTCCGCAGCACTCTAATCTGTTTATGACTTGGTCTGGCTTAGTAAACCCATTTTGGGTTTTTTTCTTTAACTCTTTATCGATTCTGCTTCGACGTAGTCCAATAAAGCACATTGACAGAAGCAATTTATGTCAGCTAGTGCCTCTGGTTCAGGAAAGCCTCCTGAGGAAGGCTCCTCCTATACGAAGAGAAGTTAAGCACCTTGCAAATACCATACAGGTTACCCAGTTATCCCACTCTTACCAGTTTCATTCAACCCATCTCCACGACTAAAATTAGGAACAACCTCCTGTTTCTCCTGCTCACAAGCAGAAATAGGTACCATCCTCCCTACGTGTCACTTCCTAACGCCACGGGGAAAAGATGGGAAACACCAGAAGGAATTTCCCAGTCTTAAGAGGAAAAAGCTGCAAGTGGCCACTGAAAGGAGATGAGCATTTCCCATCAACTGATGGCACAGAACTCAATCTTCTGGCATCAGCGCTGGCACAGTGGGTGCCACGGGTACCAGCAGGGCTCAAGCACCTGGAAATGGTAAAATGCCCCTATTTGTACCTGCTGCCCAGGTGTGTAAATGCAAGTTGTAGATGAGCATTTCCCCTCGACTGATGGCACAGAACCCAATCTTCTGGCATCAGCGCTGGCACAGTGGGTGCCACGGGTACCAGCAGGGCTCAAGCACCTGGAAATGGTAAAATGCCCCTATTTGTACCTGCTGCCCAGGTGTGTAAATGCAAGTTGTTCCAGTGCCACAAAAATCCAGATCAGGCAGGTAGGAGACCATGGATTTATCCTATCAGCTGGAGATGTGGCCAATCTCCTCACGATACGCTGTATCACCTCTTCCTTTCTTAGCTTTCCCACCTAAGGCTGGGGAAAACGCTGACTGAGACCATCATTCAGGGAAGATGTTTAGTAAAACCCGCAGCGCTCGGCGGCTCCTAAGTGCAACATAATCGTTTCCTTGCTTCTTGCTCCGAGGGCAGAGCAGCAGGGCAGAGGAGGATGGCCGAGAGCTGCAGGGCCTGGAAAACTGAACTCAATTTAGCCACAGAGCAGTTTAGAGTTCCTGTTGCATTTTTCAGCTAAGTACAGCAAATCCCCCCGCTAAGCAACCGCCCAGGTGGCCATAAATACTGAAAGGCTAACTGCACGCGTGGCGTGTGGGTATGAGAGGGGGTGTGGAGGGGCATAGCAGGAGAGCAGCTGAGAGAGAAGCTGAGTGTCCTTCCAGGGAGGCAAAGCCACCTGTTTGCAGCGCCAGGAGCCAGGCCCTGCTGCGGGACGGCTCCGGAGGCACGTGAGAGCTGCCGGATTCCCTTTCATTCGAAGCTTCCTGCAGTTACCAAGCACTGATAGAGTTTCACTCTTCACCAGCTGGAGCCCCGGGCAGGGGAGTTTCTCCAGAGAAGGAGCTCAGGAGCTCCTCCTCAGGGAGGAAGATGAGGGGTGGTCTAAAGAGGGCTGCACATGGCGGGTGACACAGCAGAGATGGCCACCGGGCACCTCCCGTGCCAACTGGAGACCTGTGTGGTGAAAATGCAGCTTGTCACTTATCAAAAGAAAAGAATATAAAAGCAAACATGGCCTTTAAATCTACTTGGATCTGCTGCCCCTGCTCAGTCTGACACCATGGCTCAGTCTGACACCATGGCTCAGTCTGCTGCCTTGCAAGGCTCCCAGGGAGCCCCCGCTGCAAAAAGAGGGGTAGCAGGGGACATGTCACATTTAATTACCAGCAGACCACGGGCACCTAACTTCAGGTTCTTCGTTTATAACAAGAAGAGCTGAAAAGCCTCCCATCTCCCCACACAGAGCGTTGCACAGTGCCAAAAGGAGGAGGATTT